TCCCTGAACAATGCTCTACAAGTGTGCTTTAAAAACAATAGTAGCATTTTAGTTACTCTTCTATTGTCGTGATAAGACACCAGGGCTGAGGCAACTCACAGAAGGAAGAGCTTATTTGGGGCTATGGTTTTAAAGGGTGAGTCCATGAGCATCAAGACAAAGACCATGGCAGCAGGCGGGGACGGCATTGGAGCTGCAGCTGTGAGCTCACATCTCATCCACAAGAACCAGGCAGAGAGAAAGAACTAACTGGGAATGGCATGAACTCTTGGAATGTTATAGCCTGTCCCCAGTGTCATACCTCTTCCAACAAGGCCACACCTCTTAACCCTTCCCAAACATTTCCACTGACTGAAGGCCAAACATTCAAAGCACATGGGAGACATTCTCATGCAGACCAAAGCAACAAATCCTTGGGCATGAATATACTTTCCTGATTCTAAAATCAAAGGATACTATGATTATCACATAAAAGGTCTGCAAAGTTGGTTGTAATTTATAAAGGGAATTTTCACTAAGAAATTAAATGATGGGAAACCATGTCTCTATACTTAAACTTCTCAAATTTTGGGGTTCCACACATGAAAGTCCATATCATTTCTTATATGTTTTTAGAACTTAAAATTTTGCTCTTCCAGTGTGAATCACTTTAATTTTATGGAAAACTCAGCTCACGGTTCTCCCAGCCTAGTCATGGGCCAGCGCTGGTATAAGAAAAGCAGCCAGAAGAGTCTGCTTCCTACCGTGCTCTGCAGAAGCGTGGGGAGCTTTGGGGTCACATGGATGCTCTGGGCTGGAAGCTTGTGTTTTAGGACAGAGTGCACACACATGAGGGTCCCTTATCCTGCTCTGGGCGGGCTCTGCCCTGGCAACACTGGCTGGTGACTACGGCTGTGCAATCAAGCACCAGACTCAGGTCTGAAAACATTTCTCCCAAGGTCAGCGGGGGAATGGCAGCACAAAACAGTAGTTTTGTGTCTTCACAGAAGGACCGACTCCTCCTTGCGGGCTGTGAAGCAGGAGGAGACATGCCTACTGTGCTCTCACGCGTTTTGGTCCTTCTTCTTCACTCCTCTGAAGCTTGGCAGGTGTAATTATACTAAGCTATCTAAGAAAAGGCAATCTAGCCAAACTAAAAGAAGAAACAGAAAAAAGAAATTGCTAATTTATTTTAAATATTTGCAAAGCAGCTGTGCATGCCACTCTTGGTACCGCGGTTTCAGCAATTAAGAGACAACAAGCAAAACTATCAGTGAAATAGTTTCTGCTGCGAAAGGCCATAAAGCTAAATGAGCACACGTTACAGGGCTTCTGTAAGAGCGAATACTACTCCTTTGCCTCTACATACCGCTATTCTTTCTCCCTTCCTCCACTGATAGACAGTCAGGCTTTATTCTAAACAGTGCTGTGACGAACATGTCAGTGCCAGTAATTGTAGATATTTTAACAGTTATTTTTGATGATATCTAAGAGTGAGATGACTAGAGTAATATATGGTAATTTTACTTTCAACTTTTAAAGGAAAAAAACACTTTAAAAAAATATATTGCTAGCCATATACTCTCACTTCTTCCCAAAGACAGCTGACCCTGATATACAGTTCTCTGCCATGAGAGGTAAGTAGCCTGCAGTCTATCAGGAGAAGGGGCTCCACCTGTCAGGGAAACTGACTGCCCTGCAGAATCCTTGCAAGGCTTTCCTCTTGAGCTGAATAGGACCACTGGGATGATCCTGCTGCAGAATATAAAAGGCATGTGTCCAGGCAGTGGGCCAAGGCTAATCACTGCGTCCAGCACCTGCACACCCTCAGCTGGGGGGCTCCGTTCTCAAAAGGAAATCCACAGAAGGTCTGTCAGCACCTCGCTGTGTGTCTGGGGACACAACTCTCTAGGAACTTGTCTGAATGCTTCTTCCCACATGGGAAGGCCTACGTCCCAACATTTACATGGCTCTGAACTAGAGCACAGAGGAATCCTTCAGAACCTGGGCTAGGAGGTGGGCTAAAATTCAAACACCACCTTGAGCTGAAAGAAGGACCCTTGTGGTACTCACTAAAGAACAGAACCCTTATTAAAGAAAGGCTCCTTTCGGGCCCGTTTCCTAGGTGTGAGGTCCACGGCCTCAGAAGGACCCCTGCTTCTTGGACCACTTTTCTGCTGCGGACTCAAAATTCTTAGAACATCCTAATAAGGAAGGGGTAATATGATTTTCTTTCGTTTGTTTGTTTTTAATTCCAAAACTCTGCAGCCAGGCTTGCTTACTACTTTCCAGGCAGAACCAGAAATGGAGAACCTGGTCAAGGACCGGGACTACTCCAGGACACTTAGTGTGGAAAGATGGGAGTTGAATCGTGGAGAAGTACAGGAAAGAATACAGCCATATTTTGTAAGAAAACTGAGTATTGTGTACTGAACACAAAGTTTTAATTTCCCTCGCCAGTGTGAAGTTTCAGACCCCAAATACCCACTTTACTTTGCAGTTCCATGGTCATTCTCATTCCTAACAGCCACACACACTTAGAACCAACAGAAGCACTGCACAACGTAGGGCCCCATCCCAACACCGTTCTTCTCCCTCTAATTCACAATTTAAGTCTCATAGTGGTCATTTTTATTATCAGAACTTTGTCATTGGAACTCGTTATGTTCTGGAAGGGCCCAGGGAAAATGTGGGCCTCTTGTTATAAACTTACTGAGAATTTGAAGGCAGCGGCAACAAGAGTACTAACCCAAACATGGGTCATTCCAAGAATGGGATCTGCACAGGCCAAAGGGCAGCGGAGCCCAATTCTCTCTGTTCAGATTCTGAAATATACCCTTTCTTTTTTTTAAATTAATTTTTCATTTATTTTACATACTGACCACAGTCTTCCGTCCCTCTTGTTCTCCTGTTCCCTCTCTTCCTCCCTTCTACTCCCCCTCCATTTCCACTCAGGGAAATGGGAGTCAACAAAGCATGGCCTATTAAGTTGAGACAGGGCCAAGCTCCTCCTCCTACATCAAGGTTGGGTGAGGTGGCCCAGCTTGGGGATTGGATTCCCAAAAGCCAGTTCAAGCGCCAGGGACAGATCCTGATCCCACTGCTAGGATCCCACAGACCAAGCTACACAACTGTCACACACATGTAGAGGCTTACATTGGTCCCATGCCCTAACTAGCTCTCAGTCCAGAATCTGTAAGCACCCATTAGTTCAGGTCAGCTGTCTCTGTGGGTTCCCTTGATCTTGGCCCCCCTTCCTTCCAGTGAGCTCTTCCTATTAAAGAGAGAGAGGGAAGTCTGTTCATCCTTTGTTTAAGTGATAACTATTAAATGGGTTGCCTGGCTTGGCCTGAGACTAAGAACAGCTACTGTGAAGCTAGGGATAAGTCAATCCTCTAGGATTTGCATGCTGTTTGTTGTAAGAATTCATGAAGGAAACCAGGTCGAATAGATGAGAGAACAGCCCTTGAGCTCTTCACTAGAAGCTGACGCAAACTTTGGTTTGTTATGGCTTTGAAGACTGTTCCAGAATCACCTCCTCAGATCTACCTCCTCTAGAGTCTAAGTTTGCAAACTGTAAGACTCTTCTTTGCTGAAGAAAATGCTGCTCCTTTGCTGTGGCCTCTAGGGAGCACTGAACTGAAGTTAGACATTTTCTACTCCTTCATCTACTGGAACGTAAAACCCTCAAAGCCAGAAACTCTTCTACCTCTCTTTTCTTCTTTATCTTCCTTCTCTTCCTCTCCCCCCTCCTCTTTCCTGATCTTTGTAACTTGAAAACTGATCAACACATGACAAAAATCATCCTTAAATGCTTGTTGAACTTTTAGTGTTATACTCTGAAGAGACTGAGGAAGAATCTTATATGAATGTTCTGTGTGTAGAATGGCAGAAGAATCCTTGGGGAAAGAATACAACACACACAAAGACAGAGCTCACTTTATACTGCCAATACGCTACCCAGGGACTTTGGATAAGACCTGACCTGGATGAACAGTGGAGGGCTGTCAGAGATCACCCGAAGAGTCCCTCTGAGTGACCTGCCCTGCCTGGCATTCACACGACCCTCCTTATCTCCTCTCAAATCAAGAGTCAGGCAAACGAGCATCCCAAAGCTGGTCTTTGGAGACCGCCAACTCCTGGACCTTAGCTTTATCCCAGGAAGTTTTTTCCCTAGTATTTGAATATTTATTTTTCTGTTCTCTGAAAACACTTGAAATCTTTCACTTACTCCACAGTTATGTGTAGTCAGCAAACCTTAGTAAATGCCGAGAGCCCACAAGCCAGGCATGTGTGAGATTTAAGGGGAGATTTCTTTCCAGTTTGTGTGTGGTATTATTGGTACCAAAAGAATGGTAATGGCACACTTCATCTCCTGGCTGCCACTGTGCGAGAGAAGATTGCCTCTAAGACAAAGCAAAGGCTTTTCACTGGTGTAGAAAACATATTTCTAAGGGAAATCCTCAAAGCTCAGGGGTTTCTTGACCATCCTTAGAACCTACCTTTGCCATTCGGCACCTGTCTTTGTGCTGACCTGCATGCTACTCTCTAGTGGGGGACCTTGGTGTCTGTGAACGTAACTGCCTTATGAAAACACCGTCTTACAATGTTTGCCAAAGTGGGCCTTTCTCGTAATGAGACCTACTCATTAATTTTTCTTCCTTGTCAAACTTAAAGCCAGGGCATGATTGTCAAATATCAACACATTTAGGAGATGACTTACTCCTAATTAAAGCCGCGACACAGCTGTAGTTTCTAAATTTAGTTAGCTAATCCAGGTCTGTGCTTGGCGTTTGAAACGATCTTAAGCACGCAGAAGGTAGGAGAAAAAATGAGATTCGAAGTCTAGATTCTGAATTAGGACACCAGCGGAAGATAAGACTATCCCAGGCAATAAATCCAGACATTCCAATAAAAATATATGTGCAAATGAAAATAATTATGTGTCACTGTGCTTTTATTCCCAGTATAGTTCCAGTGAACTTGACCCAGTAAGAGAGGAAAAGAAACTGGAGACATACTTTGGATTTCAGTGATCCTCTGTAAAGAAGCGGCAGCGTTGGTGTTCGGCGTCTGGTGGAGGACATCTTCCTCAAGGGGCCCGAGCTGCAGGAACGAGAGGAAGAACACAGGCAGAGCGTGAGGACTTGACAGTGAGCTGCACAGAAGCAAAGCAAGCGAACAGTCTCATCCTCAGAGGCCTGCTCCAACAACTACCTAACATTTTGCTGACATCAGGTCCCCAACTGTAGTCAGTCATATTTTGTGTCCATGTAATTAAATTCCAAGGAGCTTTTCTATTGGTCACAAGATTAATGTATGAAGGCCCTAAAGCAGGTGCACATCTGTGAGTTAGTCATTTAAAATCTGAGTTATTTGTGCACCTTTTGTGGGCCTCCCACAAACCGAATTCCATCACGAGGGGATCCACAGCTGGGGCCAGTGAACAAGCTCTCAGAGGGCATGGGGCAGAGTGGACGGTCTACTGTCTGTGTTTCCTCAGTGTTCTGACATTTAATCGTCTTAAACATTAAACACTTGCTGGTGGAAAGCCATGAGACATTTGTTCTTACTCTTGGAATAGAGCAGAAGAAAAAAATGTATTAAAGAAGCCAGAGGTAAAAGAACAGCATAGCTCCATTTAACATCTACTTTATTCAAAACTGCGATCATGTCAGCCTCAAGCTTGGGATAAATTCCTCCCGTGCAAATCTATCATGATCTTCTGGAATTACACTGATTTTTCATGGAGGAATTCAGCGAGCATCGCAGGAAATGCTGCAGAGATCCCGATAATTATGGATCATATCTGTTAGGAACAAATCTGGTGGCACAGACACTAGACACATGGGTGATGGGCGTTCTGCGGGGTACGGTCGTCGCAAAGAAAACAACCATCTAGCTTTGGGAGCACAGCAGGCAAGCAAACAATGGTTGGGAGACAACAAACCCTAAACACGCTGTTTTCCTGGAAAACTTCAAGTTAATAACCTCAACTAAGAAGCAGTGGTTGAACAGAGTGGTGTGACCAGAAACTGCTGTCAGCAGGCAGACCAAAGCACACTCTCATCCAAATTTCTTCAGCTGGAGGAAAAACTAAGAAAAAAAGCACTCAGGGATTATAAATTTCCAGAGCATATGTGAGTGAATCTCACCCCCAGGGTTTCTTGGAGTTGATTATTCTGTACTTCAATCACAGGACGGAGAACAATAGCACCTTTCTTCCAGATGCCACAGGCTAGCAGAGTAGCTCGGGGATATTTATACATGAGCAAATTCACTAAATATAACTTTGTAGAGTGTTTTTCTTAGCTGCCAAAGAAAAAGCTTTAAAACATCAAAAGGTCTGTACGCAACACAATTTAGCAAGAGGAGAAACACCACTGCGCCCAAGTCCATGTCAGTGAAAGACTGTGGAAGCTTAAACACATAAATTCGGTTAAAATCATTTCTTTTTAAATCAGTACTTCAGATGGTATCTTTAAGAATATGTCATCCTGCTCACGACCTCATCTCAGAGGCAAGACCAAACCATGAGCCGAGGTTTCCTGGGAAATGTTTACTGAAGAGTTAGACAGGGTCAAGCGAGCCACTCTGCGCATACACAAACGTCCCTCCCATCCACGTCTTTTTCAGGACACAGGGAAAAATAATTTTTAATAGCAATAAAATGTTTTGATACGCCATTTCATATTAGAACTTATGCACAAGATCGGCACAGTCCATTTTCTTCAAAAACCTTCCTTGGGACTTCAGATTTAAAAAAAAAATGCTGACAAACATAATGGTGTTGGATACTGGAGGGAAAACGAGAGACAGATCACACATGCAAAAGCTCCAATTTTGCAACTGGAGCTCACTGAGGTCTGTGGGCTTGTTTTTAAGTCCCGGGTAATATAGAAAGTATATGTGGTTCAGCGTGTTGAGTATGAAAACACAAACACTTCTAAACCCACAATTTAGAGTTTTCAGTAGGATGGATAAAGTTGTGCCTACTTATAAAAGCAACTCAGAGAATTAAGGAAATTAAATTGATCATTTAAGCCTCTCAAACCATTTCCCTGAATGTCATTTGAGGGTTTAACCTTCTGTAAATTGCCCCAATTTGTTTCATTTTGAGTGTGTACACACAGACAGGGCTGGATTCAGAGCGTTCTCAATGTGGGCTCTTTATATTTCATCAGGCAGCGGTGCAGAGAAGGCCGTGGGCAGCAGTCTCTCCACTGGCGAGGTCGCAAGCAGCGTTTACAGGCTGTTTTCCTAAAATTAAAGACTTGTACACAGGGACCACAGAATTCAGGTGTGTTTTCTTTCTTTCTTTTTTTGTTTTGTGTTTTCTTTAGAGAATTTGTTGACTTAATCACTCAAAATTATGGGCAATAAAACCATCTGATTGATGCATCCACTTGATAAATATTTATGAGTATTGGTCATTATTAGTAATCTAATAACTAAGTAATGAAATAATACTAAGCAAATAGTCATTCCCAATAAATTGGAGCAAACATGATATTATATGGTAAAGCTATGATCGGTGTTTAGTTTGGCCAATAAGATGTAGTAAAATATTGGCTATTGAAACCAATCAGAATCACTAAGTGGTCTAAGCAAACAGGCCAGTGAGATACGGTAGATCTAGAAGTTAGAGGTCTTATAGGCCCATCATAGTGTCTGCCAAGCAACTCTATTAAATAAAGATAATTTTCATGAAGTTATTAAGATAAATCATACAATTTAAGTACAACCCATAGACACACACAGCTAGTGGATGATCATTTTTCTCTACATGTAAAATACAATCACAACCATTCTCTACATAGATTTAAGCTCTGCGACAGAGAAACCTATTCTCTATATCTGTTACATAAAATTGAGCTGTTGTATGGGCAGAATCCAAATGTTTGCTCTGTCTCACCTGTCATGACTTCCAATGTCTGCAGATGTTAGAAAACACCAGCGATAGGCAATTAACTAGTGGAAGAGGAGCCTTAGGGGCTGCGAATTAGAGAGGGGGTGGGAGAGTTAGAGGGAACATGGGAAGGTTAGAGAGAGGATGAGCGGAATGATGAAATTATATCTTAATTAAAAACAAATTAATAAAAAAGAAAAATTGAAATATTTTAAAAGTAGTAGCATGAGTAAGGATAGAAGGAGATATCTGTGGACACTTATTAATGTATCCAGAAGTACTTAAAGCTCTAATGCTCAGGTTAGACTCGAGTTATTCTGGGTGTTTGGTATATTTTATGATATGGTTATAAATTATTTATGTGTTTATTTATTATCAATTAATTGACTGTTTTTTTTAAACACAGTCTCAATAAAACTCAGACTGACAATGGATTCATGATCCTTCTACATTCGCCTCCCAGCGATTGGCAGTACAGGCACATGCCACCACACTCAGACGGAAATTTGATTTGAAAAGCTTTGGAGAAAGTTTTAACTTTCTGAGACTTCTAAAAATCATTCAGAATTCTCATAATACGGAAGAACTCAAACAGGTTTTCTTCATGTTCATGTAGCAATGTAACATCTGCATATACTTCAACTTTATCCCCTATGCTATTCTTGATATAGAGACATATCGTTGGCTTTCACCAACTTTTCCAAAGAATTTTAAATTTCCACAAATGTTAGTTGAATTTAGTTGAGTTGGCCATTAATCTTGTTAAACTTAAGTACTAAACATGCTTTAATGAAGACAGTGGATTCACTGCACACCCAGTCACATGTGATTGGGAAGATGCTCCGCGTCATTTTCAGCCTGCAGAGCCTTCTTCCTGCCTAATTCCCACGCTGGGCTGCTGAGAGGAAAACTGAGCAGCCCAGACACTCTTTACGTCAGAGAAAGGAAATTATAGTCCACCACTGAGAGAGAACTTGAAAAAAGTCCATGTCTACCAAATAGAGTATAATTGTGAATAAACGGTAGTAGTCTCCTAAAAATTCTCTTTCATGAAACATAAAACCATAAAGTGTGAAAAATGAATGAGCTATAGCTGTGTACAATGACAGAGAAGACTCTCATAAACAAAATAGTCAGAAAAAGACATTATATACAAAATATTATATATGTGAATATATAATATTGCATCTTTATAAAGTTTACAAGTGGGAAAATTGGAACATGGTGTCGGAAATCAGAAAAACATTGCTTTCAGAAAGGAGCCAAGCAGTAACTTAGATTCTCTTGATTCGACTCAAGGTTAGACATGTGAAGTCCTTGTGATGCCTATTGGATTGTGCATATTTGTGCTGATTTCTGCATTAGTGTTAGAGTTAGACCTAAAAACAACTTTGGAAACACTGACATTTCCTTCATGTACTTATTCATGTGGTTAATAATGGGAAAGGTCCCTGACTCAGGCAAGCAGGGACACAGACTGGGCCTTCAGACCATGTGTGTTCCATGCGTGGTGATACCTAAGAAATCAAGGGAGAGTTCCTTGCTGCAACAAAGCTATGTTCTTAAACATGAACCAAAGTTCACTGGCAGAGAAAGCCGAAAGTCTGACTACGACATTCAGACAACTCAGATGCGGTCCAAAAAGTGTTCAGCTGTAAGGATCAAAGGGATTATGGAAGAATCCGATGGCCAAGCCCAGGAGGATAAAGAGACGGGGGTACTCACGTGACCTTCTGTGTTGATGAACTATTTATTATCAATTCCCCTGCGAGAAGGGATTGATACTTAAAACCCTACTCTCATCTAAATAATTGCTCAGGAATGACTGCAATTAGTTGTATATGTTTAATTTGATTGCATAAGCAAGTCTGGTTATAATTTTATCCATACTGTGAATCATGAGTCAGTCATTCTTTTTTTTTTTTTTTTTTGGTTTTTCGACACAGGGTTTCTCTGTGGCTTTGGAGCCTGTCCTGGCACTAGCTCTGTAGACCAGGCTGGTCTCGAACTCACAGAGATCCGCCTGCCTCTGCCTCCCGAGTGCTGGGATTAAAGGTGTGAGCCACCATCGCCCGGCGAGTCAGTCATTCTTAAAACAGCCATTGTTGTTGGTTTGAAGCCAATAATGTTCTTCAGCAAACAGACTCGGAGGGGCTGAAATCAGAGTGGATTGGGCTGACTCATATGTCACTAGGCT